GTGTTGTTTGCGTGTCCATCCCCTGGCATCATTGTGCACATGCATTAGCGACCAACAGCATGCTTCATTCCCGCACATGCTAATGAAAAATGATTGCTTGTCTTTCTGAAACCAAACCAATTATTCTTGTTTTTGTTTAATGGAAATTTAGCTTGTGTTTAGTGACAGAATAACTAAATCAGTCTTATTTGGAACCCAAGCGTCAATGCAGATCCTGTCGCTTTGCTGACAGGAAATGTAACCCAGATAGCTTATTTGATAAAACAGGGCTATTTTGGCTTTGAAACAAAAAACTCCACCCTTGCGACTTCAGAGCAAATGAACCATGCGTCCCCACCTCCATGTCTTTCTTTCCCCAGCGTCTGCCCTAACGCAGCCCATTACGAGGCAACATTTTACACAACCAGCAGTATCAGCTCTGAGCTGGTATACACACGCCTACCTGATTGCATATCTCCATTTCAGAACTGCTGCCTAATCACATTTTTTCAGGCTGTGTGAACAAAATAATGTTTCTTTAATTATGTGAACTCTTTATTTTTGATATTTTAATGACGTTTTAGAAGATAGAACAGCCGCTTCTCTTAGATTGGGTGGTATTAATCAGGTGTGACAGCTAGTTATTTGATACATTTTTAAATCCCACTTGTATTTTCACAAGAGTAATCTGGGACCTGATTCCTCAGTCCTGGGTCTGTAATGTCACTTGTGTTTTTGCCCATAATGAGCAAAATAATTGAACCAAATTAGCAGTATCTATAATTCAGTGCTAGCTCAGAGGTCTTTTTTTTTTTTTTTTAATGAAATTAAAAAGCATTCTCCCCTCAGGAGAAATGTTAATAAATAAAGGTCTGTAGGATCTACATTCTTTACTGAGTGTTGGTCCAACATACGTTTTTCCCCCGGGAGCTGCACCCAGCCACCGAGCTATAAACACGGCTGGCCCATTTCTTCACTGAGTGTGTGTCTTGTGCTGGGGAGTTGCTCTGACACACGTGCAGACTCTTTTACCTGGGTCATGACGCTGGGGACCATTTAGTGCATCTTAGATGCTGTTTGGGTATCACAGAGTATTAGCATCGGGTACGACCTGGGCTTGTGCTTTAATTGTTAATTTGTTTGTCTCTCTGGTGGACCGAACAGAGGGGCCCCAGAGGGCAGGCCTGAGCTGCCTAGACCTCATCGGACTGTGTAGCCTCAGCATCCAGCACTGTATTGGAGGCACTTGACCAGAAGCCATACCGTTCAGAAGCGTTTCTGTGAAATGCAGAATATAAATATTGCTCCGTCCTTTCATTTTACAGAGAAAGATGATGAGGCCCAGAGTAGACTTGATCAAAGTCACAAGGCAAATATACCTGAATTCCATTCTCAATTCCCAGGCCCGTGTTCCATTTACTACATAGTGGCCTTTACCTATAAAGCTGAATGTCCGAATGTTCAGTCAATAATAAGAACTACAGAGCGGCGTTTCTCAAACTTGCACGTGCATATGAGTCACACAGGGAGCTCATTAAAATGCAGATTCGGATTCAGTAGCTTTAGCGGCGGGGCGGTGGTGGGGGGGGTGGGGGGTGGGGGTGCGGTGGCAAGACACTGCCTGTCTCACAGCTCCAGGTGATGCTGGACTCTGGTCTGTGGACCACATTTGAATAGTGAGGCCGTAGCACAAAGTGAGTGATCCTGCTGGCCCTGGGGTCAGACTGCCAGGGTTCAAATCCTGACTCTGCTGCTTTCTGTATGTCCCTCTCCGCCAGGCACAACACTGCTACTATCTGCCAGCTTCTATACTGTGAAGTCTGCAGGGACCAGATGAGCAAAGCAGACTGTAGGGCGTGCAGTCCGTTGAGGAAAACCAGAAAATACCTGTTCTTTCTAAGGTAGTGGCTGCTGTTCACCTCGATTTCATTGTTACCTCGTGGAAACAAGGGTCCTTTGCTGCCAGATCTTCTGAATTTTCATAGAAATCTTTGCATCATGAATTTCGTATTTGGGGAAGGAAATGATGAACATAGATGATAGATAGATACATAGATAGATATTTTGGTGCTATCTCAAAATTTTTTTCAGTTGGCAACGACTTAAAACATTTTTGAACACCTTGCTAGGTGTTCCACCCATGGGCTACATCCTGCCCCTAGTTTGCTACTTCTTTACGAACAAGTTCTCATTTAATCTTTAAAACAACCCCATGAGGTAAATGAGTATTATCATGATTACCATTTACCATAGAGGATACAGGCTTAGAACCACTAAGTAAATCACACCCAGCATGTAGGTTTAGGCAGAGGTCAGGACTCAAGCCAGGAATGACTGATTCCAAAGCCCCCTCGCTACACAGCCATGGCGACTGTCACCAAGTCCTGCCCAAACCTCCCCAGTCTCTTAAATGTCCCCTGGTCCATGGCTGATGTGCTGTGTTCCAGCAAAAGGGAGAAGACGCCTATAAGCATTAAAAGGAGTTTCCCTCTAGGCCAGTCCAGTTCACCCAAAAGACCAAACTCGCAACATGACCTCCTGAGCACTGTGCTGTATCATTCCCACCACGAGCTCTTCCCTCACACTGTCTGGAGGTAATGGGATGAAGTAACTGAAGCACCACCTTGAATCTTGGCACTGCAAGCCACTTAACGTCTAAATGTCAATTTGCCATGTGCCTACCTCACGGGGCCAGTGTGAGGGCTAAATAGAGCCGTGTTCATAACACATCTAACCAGGCCTCCAGGTGCTCCGTAAATCCCCACATGTGTATAGACTCCCTGTAGCCTCCAGGGCGTCGCCCCCAGGACCTGAACGTGGAATCCAAATGATCCGTGTATGTCAGGAGATCTGACTCACAAGGTACCTTTCTTGGTAGCTAATGGAGACGAAGTCTCAGGCCACTGGGGCAGTGCCTGATGCCCACGGGTACTCCCTCCTGGTCCCCTCTTGCACCTTCTCTCCCTCCACCACCAGCACCTCCATTCTACCACCAAAGGTGATGCACTACAGGTGGAAAAGCCTAGACCTTGGAGACAAGAGCAGCCTGGTTTGGGACCTGGTGTGCCCCGACTATGCCGCCTCAGTTATATCACATAACCTATTGGAAGTTCAGTATCTCTAACTGAGAATGAGAATCATAAGCCCCATCTCCTAAATGTTCTTTTTGTTTTTTCAGAAAATAAATAAGATGATGCATGTAACGTACCTGATACAGACTACTCACTTTACAGATTTAAGTTCCTTAACTCTCCCCTTTTATTCCTGTATCACCTCTGGCCAACCTGGCCCCAGGCCACTGGGTGAAGAGTGAGCAGATCATGCCAAACCTATAAAGACTCCTTTTCTAAGCTTTGGAAAAAGAGGTAGCACCTTGTGAAGAAGGCAGAATTATACCACATTCAGCCCTGGACTGGGAATTGAAAACTCAGATATTTATAAACAATCCATGGAAGTGCAAACTATCGTTAACCCCACTTTAAGGATGGGGAAACTGAGGTTTCGAGAGGTTAAATCACTTTCTCAAAATCACTCTGCTCTCAACGAGGACTCAGAGAGTCTCCTTCCTCAGTGGATACACACCGCAGCAAATCATTTTACTACCTAAGGTCTCGGTTTCTTCATCCATCAAATAAAGATATTAGAAATATCCAGCCGTGTAAGAAATTCTTATTTTTGTCCTGGCCCTCAAGGGTATCTCCCATCATATTTTTCACGGAGACTAGACCAGGATGCCGCACCGGTAAAAAGAGCCTGAGGGCAATGGCTTGCTCTCAAGCCCTCTGTTTTCAAGGCATCGTGTTCAAGATAGGTAATGTTAAGTCGTCTGACCCAGTCTCTTTCGAGCCGGCCTGTGTGGACAGTTGGGTAGTCACCCTCTTGGATCGAAACTATTTTCAGTGGCTCAGATTTCTAGGATGGAAAGGATCCTTTTCATAAAGATCCAGTTCAGCTGTGATCATTAAGCCGTTCCCTACTTCCCTGTCAGTTTTCACCAAAGCGGGGAAACTGAGCCAGTACGTGCCCACCAGCTCAGGGGGTGGGTGCTGTGGACCGAGGCAGGGGAGAGGCAGGGGAGACAGCCGTCTCCTCCAAGCTGCGTGAGGACACCCCGCTAGGACCGAAACCCAGGGCGAAAAGAGGTTCCTTAAATCAAATGCTGCTCCCCTCTCTCCCCCTCTCCATTCCCGGGCACATAAACATGTAAGGTTTATGATTGGATAAAGGTTTGGTTTCATTCCAAGCATAGAAATGGGTTTAGAAGACTTCAACTTCCTGTCTCCTAACTTTCCTGACCACAAATATTTTTTATTGTAAGCCATGAAAGCAAAGGGTTATTTAATACATTAACACTTCAGATGCCTTTGGTCCAACCCTTAGCTCTAAGCTCAATTATTGGCCTCCTGTTCCTTTAGCTCAGGCAGTTCATCCTGCCTTGCCTATTTTTAATTCCTCCACCTAAAAAGCTTTAGTTCCTATCCTTGCTGTAGTTTATGGTTTTACAATGCTTTATTGAATTGCTATATTGTAATATTTCTGCCATTTTCCCCGCCCCCCAAATAATCCTTTATGAAGAAGCATGGACACAGTGTGGAATGCAGTGAGGTAAGTGCAGCAGTCTTTATAGCATTTTACAAATTTCTCCTGGTATCAGAAATCACAAAATAATCACATTTAAAAAAAAAAACAGCCTAGCCCCTTGCCTGCAGGACAATGCATGGTTTTTTATTAAAAGAGGAATTTAAATTCCTTCTGTGCACAGACTGTTTTAACTATAAAGACTTAGAAAATTAATTTTTGCCTATAATGTCTTATAGATAATACTATAAAAATAGTTCCTCTTTAAGAAGCATATCTCATGCAAATATCAAAAAGCCTTTTATCTGTGTTCAAGATATCTTGTTCTATTTCTGTCCCTTGTTCCCTTCTCTTAGCAGAAGATCAGACTTCGAGAGCCCTGAATCTCAGAACTTGCTGCTGGAAGGTAGAGCCCAGGGGCTGGCCAGAGGTTGAGCTGCTGGACAGACATGTGACAAGCAGAGAGACTGAGGGTCCCAGCTGAACTTCCTACTCTGTGCTGAGCACTGCGCCAGGTGCTGAGGCAGAGGAGTGGTGGATTCAAAGGGCAAGAGAGACGGGGTTCCAGCCAGAAAGATCACGAAAGCATAGTGCTGGAGTAACAGACTAGGCCCGCAGTGCAGCATGAGAAGAGAGGGAAGGAGGTAACATGTTTTAAGCAGTATTGCCCCAAACTTCCCTCCCTCATCAACCACCTTCAGGATTCTTGCACATCCTAGTACCACCCATATTTTTTTTTCTAACATTTTTCTTTAAATGATTCACTTTTTTATTTTAATTTAGATTCATCCTCAGCAATAATACTGGTTGAAGTCACTGTTTAATGTGCTTCTATATATATTTTCAAATATATATAAATTAAGTACATGACGATTAAAATTTTTTAAATGTTTCACCTGGGCATCCCTAAAAATTACCTCAGGTATACCATCAGTCATTGCCGCAGCACATGGTGGGAAACCCTGCTGTTGTGGACTAAATGTGTTCCCCCTCCCCAGAGCCACATGTTGAAATTCTAATGCCCCATGTGATGGTGTAGGAGGTGGAGCCTTTGGGAGATAATTGGGTCATGAGTGTGGAGCTCTCATGGATGAGATTAGTGCCCTTGGAAGAAGAGACAGGAGAGCTTGCTCTGGCTTTCTGCTCTCTGCCAGATGAGGACCAGCTGTCTGTCTATGAAGCAGGTAGCAGGCTCCCACCAGACACCGAATCTACCAGCCCCTTGATCTTGAACTTCTCAGCCTCCAGAACTGTGAGAAATAAATTTTTGCTATTTAAACTGCCCAATCTGTGGTATTTTTCTTCTAATAGCCTGCCCTGATGAAGACGCCTGCCTTAAGATAGAGAAGAAACTGGAAAGGGGAAGGGATGAGAAAAAGATGGCTAGTACTTGGCATTTGTAGAAAAAGAATCTCCAAGTTGTGTCTGGTGGCGATGGGGACTTCCCATCCGTGTGTGCGTGCGCACACACGCACACACACACTGCAAATGAAGCGGCCTCCTTCCCCGTCTCATGGCCTTCTCTCCCCAGAGCAGACCCCAGGAGACCTGACACCCAGACCCTGTAAACTTATACTGCTTGACAGATTGCTGGGCCTGGATAGATCTGCCCAAATCCATTGTGATCCACTAGATCACCCACCCAAGCACAGATCCTATCATTGTAGTCCACAGGATAAGCTTTCTTTCATCGGGAAGAAAATCAGTGCTCATTTTTACATTCAGCTGCTATCAACATAGTAAATTTCTTGCCCACAAAGGATATGATACCTATCCATGCCCCAAGTGTTGGACATTTTGATCTGTTAACTTCTGATTTCTGATTAGCTAGTTTCTGAAGTCAACTATGGGATCGTGAAAAGAGCCAGGTTATGGAGTCAGCCCAGACCCTGACCAGATGCGTGATCTTGGGTAAGTTACTCAAATCCGATGACCCTCAACTTCCATATCTGTAAAATGGGGATGATGATGCATACATCTAATAATTTCCTTTTTTGGTGGGGGAAGAACAAAATACCTAGTGTACGTAGTAACGAAATGCCTGCCATAGAGTTTGAAATCACACAGTAAATACACTTTTAATATGAACTTTGCAGCCATTAGAAATGACAAAATCATAGTAATGGAGACTATACAAGCAATAGCAAAAAATTCTTAAGATAATTTTAAAATATTTCAAATATTCCAATATTTCAATTTGCTGTATTACAGTGTCTGTGTGTGTGTTCCCTCTAATTTCACATAAGAAAATTTATGCATATGTATGTACAAAGACAAAAACATGGAAAAATAATTTTCATGCATTAGGGCTGAGATACAGTTTGAAATTAAGAACATTAGCTCTTAAACTGGGCTTTAATCCCAGCTAGGCCACTTCCTAAATATATTGTCTTAGCTAAATTACATAGTGTCTCTAAGCCTTAGTTTCCGTTTCAGAAAAATAGGGATATTAATAATAGTATCAACTTCAGAGGTTGGTTTAGCTGGTATCCGTAAATTCTGGTCTTTAGTAAATTCACAGTAATAGTACTGTAATTAGGTGGTAGGATTATGGTGATATTTGTACCTTTCAAGAAAGGATCACTGTTCAATAATAGAAACTTCCAGTGGCCAAGTTACAACTGCATTCACTGAGTTGCTATTGTTCAACCCCAGAGTTGTACTGTGGGAAAGAGAGCGAAGAGCAAAGGCACCACTACCACCACTAGGCTGCCGGGTCAAGGCTAACCCGCACCTGGGCCGCTTGTGACCAGCCAGAGGGAAAAAGCTGCTCCTCCCACCTGGCCCAGTCAAATAGGACCTAATAACCCAGTGCTTTTTTCTCACACAGAACAAATACATCTGGAATATCCCTGAGCTGTGTCTCTACCACTGCCACTTCCAATTTTACTTCAAGCTACATTGGAAAATTTTAAATCCTCTTCAATTTGGGCTGCTTTTATTTGTATTCAGACTAAGATAGAGTGTGTATGCCAGGGGACAACTTGACCATTAAAAGAAATTCTATTTGACTGCATATATTTTTATCAATTTGGGAAAGCTATCAAAGCAGGCATTTTCACTTAAAAGCTTACAAATGAAGCTGATATTATCTGGTTGGGGGAGGGCTAGGGAAATCACTAGAGCCAAAAAAAAATCTTTTTGTGTATCAATTTCACATTGCTGTTGTCATGTACAGGATGTATATTCAAATGCGTTTGCACATTTCTAAACTGATCATACATCAAAATTAGAGCCATATTGTTCCTTTTACAGCGAAACTGTTTATATAGGAAATATTGTACCAAACATTCCCTGCCTCCACCCTGGCTTGTGACTGATTGCAGAGTGAGATAAAAGCACTTAGGTCCACAAGCAGGAGAAAGCCTATATGCATGCAAGAAATCAAAAGAAGGTGTGATTTTAACACAAACACTGTTATCAACCAAAAAAAAAAAAATTACTAGAGTTTATGCAAATTCAAAGGAAACAAAAAGCATATACTTATACACTGACAGTTTGAAATTTAGGGCTTGGGTTTGATAACGGTAGAAGTTAGTTTGGTACAGTTCAAAACAGCCCCTGGATGCCATTTTATTTCCATGTGACCATCTGAATTAGAGTTCTTTACAAGAGACAGATACGGCCCACTAAGAGGAATCCATTTCCTAATTCACTATAGGAAATGGTAATTAAAGCTGGCCACTGGTTCTTTAGTGTATTCTCTAGAAGGGCTGTGTTGGTTTCAAGTAAGTGCAGCTGAATTTTCCCTCCTCCACACTCAGCCATTTTTTTCCATCTTCTTCTTGCTTCAAAAACTTGCTCCAAGTACAAAGTAAAGTGGGAAGTTGGCAGTTATCCTATAAATCCGGGTTATGTTGTTAGGTCAACAAAATTGTAGATTTGATGGAGCTTAAAGGAATTTTAGAGATTATCCTATTCCACAGCTTTCAAACTTTAAATATTTTGTTAATGAAATCATACGTAGAACTCCAGCATATAAATTAGGTTTTAACAGTATTTCACTAGTATAAATTTATTTAAACAGCAAGCAAGAAATAGTCCTAATTTTAACATTTATCGTTTATAAAGTCAACAAGTTAGAATGAAAAGACTGATTTGATAAATCCAAAATATTGAAATTTGGGATTATGAATGATAGGTAAGAGTCTTATACCTGCCTCAGCATCTGGTTTGCTGCTGTTGAGAACATCATTTCTCACAGAAATAAGTAGTGTAACAGTTTTTTGTGGGTTTTTTTTATGGAATCAGGAAACTTAATTTTACAATTTCAAATGTCAGAAGACACTGTATTCCAAGATCTTCACAAAAAAAGGTAACCTGGCCACATATGTAGAAGGATTGACAGACTTAAACATACAGAATTTGGGGGAATATAATTTTTTGTTATTGCAATTCTTAAAATTGAATAGAAATGTACTTTAAAATAAAACTCAAATTAAATGGTTGCAAAACCCCTGAATATGGTTTGAAAACCACTGAGCTAGTCCAACCTCCTTATTTTAAAAATAGGGAAGCCAAGACTCAGAATGGAAATGATTTGCCCAACGACATACTGTGAAGTAAATGGCAAAGCTTCCTCAGTTACCCCTTTTTTTCTTGCATCTCCCATCTCTCCTTCTCTGTAGATTATTCCTTGAGCACTAAAATAAATAAATAAATATATATATATATATATATATATATGTTTTATTATCTCTCATCTTTAAAACAAATGAACCAAACAATCAAGAAACAAAAAGCCTCAATCACCCAGTACCCCAACATCTTCATAATGTTAATACCTTTCTACTCCCATGTTTTAAATTTCTTGAAAAGTGTCAGCAGATGCTGTTGCCTCTTTAGTCAGCTCCAATCTAACCACCCCTCCTACTCGTCCACCAAGTCCCAAAGTCTATTTTCTTTTTGCTAAATTTCATTAGCCTTTCACCTACCCCAGGTTGCAAGCTTTATAACAACAGAAGTTTTTGTATTTTGTTCATTAATGCATCCTGATTCCCTAACACAATGCCTCACTCATAGCAAGTGCTTAATTAACATGTGTTGAATAAATAAGTAAGTCATGTTAGAATCCCTACCATTTATGAATAAAACAGATTATCAAGAATATCTAAGGGCAGAGTTCTATTTTCAAATAAAAATTTATAAAGAAATAAAAAAGAAATAAAAGAGAAAGGAGATGGTTGGTCAAAAGCAACCGCCCTTCAATTATACTGCAATAAAATTTTTTTAATTATTTAATTTTAAAATTTAAAAGAAAGCAATTGCCCAGTAAGCATGGCTACAAAATAACCATTCAGTAATCATACAAGTTGTAGTGTTGTAAGAAAGGAAGTTTCAGTTCGATTTTGTCACTCAGGTTTGCCTTCCCGGTTTTGTGTTTTATCAGCGTAGGTGACAAATGCTTTCATTTTCCCTAAGTCCTGCAATTTGGAGGCTTAAATATGCCCTTTTGATTTTGCTTGTCAACCTGCTAGTTCATTTGCAAGCTCTGCTCGTTCTTGTCAAATGCAGCCAGTAGAACCAAGGCATAGCAGCATTACTCCGTTTCCCAAACTCCCATACTTCCAAGTAATCACAGATGACATTTTTTACCCCTGAGTATTGTATTATTTTACCTTCATATAACATGGGTTGCCATCTTTCCGTCCTCCAGTAATAATTAGTTGCTCATTACCCAGCCCCAAACAGCACGTAGTTTGGCTATACTTCAATAAGAAATGACCATAACATTCTCATGGCTTATGATGATAAAGGTTTATTTCTCATTCATATTACATGTCAGCTGCAGGACAGCTGCAGCTCTGCTCTATGAGTCTTCTCTATTCAAGCACCCAGGCTCAGGGATCAGCCCCTATTTGGGACATTTCCTTCTCATGGCAGAAGGAAAACAAAACAGTGGTTCTTCAAGCTTCTACTCAGACATTGCGAATATTACCCTGGTTCTCACGTTCCACTGGCCAAAGCAATTCACATGGCAAAGGCTGCAGCCAGTGAAGTTGGAATATGTTCCTGCCATGGAGGGGGAGGTCCTGTAGAGGAAGAGGTTCTACAGAGATGGGAGCAGTAAAAAAGGTAGGAAATATTTTGGAAAAGAAAAGGTAATTCTGCTGTCCTCTACAGTTACAATGTGAATATTAGGAATGAAAGACTGGAGGCCCATGTTTCTAGTTTGGGGAGTAGAGCACATCGTGATGCCACCACTCCAGCCCAGAAGTTTAGGCAGAGGAGCCCAGTGATGAAGACAAAGATTATGGATTCCATTCTGAA